GCTGAGCTAAATCCCCAGCCCGACTTTATTTATTTTAACGAAAAGAAAAGTAAACAATAAAAACAGTACTATGCACAGTGCCTGCCTGGCAAGTGCAAGGTCGTGAGTTCGATTCCTGGTACCGGAAAAGAAAAAAAAAAAAAATACTATGAAATTTCAAAACAAGATTGTAAGATAGTAACAATGGTTGGTACATTGCATATTGTTATCTTCAGAGCAGTTGCTCATATGACAAGATATTGGCATGCAAAATGATTAAACAAGCTTTTGTATAATGTTCCTGGACAATCCCTCAGGGATGCGGCTTCCTAAGTCCTCCCGCAGACCTCACCTTCACCTGAATGAGCCAGGTACTCTGCACCCAAGATTTGAAACAAGGACCCCAGATGCTTCTGACTGTCCTATCTGGTCCCAGGGAGGGCAAAGGTGACACAGTTCTGAGACATTTGCACCTCGGACTCCTGCAGGAAGCACAGGCCTTTCTAGAATGTTCTGGGCCCTTCTCTCCTGGGCATAGCTTTGTCTGTCCTCCTTCAGCCCCTACCTTCACCGAATTGAGCCTAGATCCTCTTCACTCCTCCTGCCTCAAGCGGTAACCTCAGAACATGGCTTTGACACCTGCTCTCGATTCCCGGAAGTAAAATCTTGAGCCCCAAGTTAAGAATTCTTCCCCAGAGTACAGCGCTGTAAACATGACTAAATCTGGATCATTCCGGGTCCCTCTCTCCGGGTGGGGCCTCCTCGTTCCCTAAAACCCCTCAGTGAAATCGGGTAACTGAACTCAGCCCTCTCCGCACTTCTTACCTGACCCGAGGAACTCCGCAAACAACCTCACCGCCTCTATCTCTGGAGGACGAGTCCGGGGACGTCACTTCCGGAAACATGCATACTCGGGTTCTCCCAGGATTGACCAAAGAAGCGGAACGGGATTCTGGGGTCCCCTTTTTCTTCCTTAATGGTCTTCACCTTGGTTCCGGGCAGAGCCCGGACCTCTGTGCTGGACGGACTTGAGTAGTTCCGTTCAGATCAATCCTCTAACTCCGAACCAAGATCCTCTAGCTGGAAAGGGGGGTCGGTTGAAAAATCCTTCCGCAGTGTATAGAGCTGACAAGAGAGGAATATCCGGATTGTTTGTGGACCCTCTTTTACAGTTGTAACTTCCTTACTCTACCCACAGCCCCTCGCATTGACCGCAAACAGCGGACAGGCTTCTCTGCTCATCGCACTTAAAGCCTGAAACTCAGAACAAGTCTACCACATTGATGACCCCCACGGATGTGGAGTCAGTTGAAATCACATCAGGCGATGTGTCCGAGATCTGACTACAGGAGCAGAACCAGATTTGGCACTTTGCCTCTGTCCTCCTTGGGGGTCGTCACCTTGGCACTCAGCGGAGCCTGGACCTCTGTCCTCCCCAGCTCGATGTGCTTCCTCGATCTCCAGGAGTCCTCCACAGTAGCGGCCATGGATGGGAGAGGCGTGGTCAAGCTCACATGGCCGCCCGGAGTCTCCGGCGCTGACTTCTGGGGCCAGGCTGAGGAGCCCAGGGTTTTAGTTCTTCTATAAGGTCTCTTCGCCACCATGAGGCAGATCTCTCCACCCTTTTCTTCTAAAAGACTGATGCTGAGTAGGAAGACAATGAGCCGCTGCAGCGAATCAGGGTAAGTCTGCTTTTGTGAAGTATTGCTTTGCTTTGCTT